TATCTTATTAAATACCAAACACACCAAAAAGTGAAAGTAAAATTATCCTCAGTACGCTTTAACGTCAATTCAATATTTTTATGTGTTTTCAATAGTGAAAGAACGATGCGTGGGAAACTTTTCACTCCTCTGTCGGTGACACATGTGTTTGCGCTAAACGGAACACATTTTTTTGATGTGCGCGCGGATTAATACGGCAAATGTAAAACACTAACCAATCAAATTAGCCAGTATTTTCATCCACAATTCCTTTGGAACCCTTGACTTGTGCTAAAAATTCAACATGGCGTCGACTAAAAGTGTAAAAGTTAATGAGCTCAAATTTTGCGTATGGCATTCTCATGTACTCGCAGAATCCGTCTTCATCTTCAACGGACAGTTCTCGAAAAATAGTATGAAAAGCCCCTTTCTCCTGTCTTCTCAGAAGCCACAGGCCAGCCCACGTTTTCCTGGCACATTTTTTACTAACTGATGAGTCATCTTCAAGCATCATCGTCATCAAAAGAATCAACTTTTTCTGTTTTGATCTTGACCGGAAGGAAGTCGCCATGTTTAATTTTGGACTAGTTCCCAAACCCTCATTTGGTGAATATCAGCTATCCCACACCGAGTTTCTTTCGTTTTGCTCCCACGTCTGTACCATAACAAGGAGCTAGCTCCGGCAGTGTGACCCCTCGTGTGTACTGGCAGTGCAAAATGAGCCTGGAGCGTGTTCCGGGAGCAAAACCCCTCTCAGCGCAAAACTTTGCGTGTCCGGTTTAATGGACGATTTGTTGAATATGGATGAATATTTCTCCTTTGTTTCCTCTGCAGTTACAATTTATAATATGCAGTTTTAGAAATCATCGTTAAAATAGAAAAATCTCAAAAATTAAATTTGCACTTCCTTCATATAAGTTTGATACTCTGTCATTTGCATACGGTAAACATCGCCAAATTTATTTCCATAGCAGTTCACAAAGAAATCATTCTTTTTATTCATAAAGGTACTTGATTCTTATCGCTTAAGCTTTTTGTCGTAACTTTGCCACTATCATTTGTTCATCAGGTACTTTATTTTATTTCACGTTTTGTTTCATTAGTATTTATTTGTTTAATAATTATTTGCGAGAATACAGTGAAGTCTCCACGCTTCAGCAAACCGTCTAATATTTTACACGTCCCCTGTTAGTTTTGTTGGGCTTAAAACTGCTAGCATTTAAATAAGGTCTTTTATGCATTGTTGTTATTTTTAATACGCAAAAGGTAAAATTTTTATTTGGGAATGTAAAGCAAGTGGCTAAGCGCTAAAATTACGCATTTCTGGGAATATTCTTTTTACAGTAACATAACGTATCCATGTCTGATTGGTCTGAATAAAAAACAGGCATACTTCATTGAAATTTAACTGGAGAAGTATGCGTAGTAGACGGAGAATTCTCCGATCTCCGCTGCTTAATGAATCCCCTGCACAGGCGTGTGTGCTAGTAGTGCCCAGTGTCCTTGGTGCCCAACTTTTGCCCTTGGGCTACTAAATAGATAACTTCAGTTTTTCATTTTTCATAAAAATCATATGCTGGGAAACCTATATTTTACAGGTTCTGAGCAATCAGGGCCAGGGCTCAAAATTGCTGCTGACATGGTTGCCAATGCGACTAACATTTTCTCCTTGGCGACTAAAAATTCTGGTTTAGTCGCCACTTTGGCGACCAGATTTCTCGATGATTTAGATTTAAAATAAATAAAAGAGTAAAGTTAAAACAAACATTTCATCTTTTCTTGTTTTGCTTCCGTCATAAAAAAAGTGCCAAATCACATAAACAAAGCCAGTTTATCTCCAAATTTATACTGACTTCTGTCCGCGATATTTTCAAATAATCAGATCTGATGGATCGTGCTATACTAAAGGGCTTCTGATAGGTCGCGGAAGTAAAATTTCGCGGGATTTTCAGAGAGAGATTCCCAGAAATTTTCGGGGCTAACTTCGCCGAAAAACAATCGGTAAAAAACGGCCGATTTCGTAGGGATCTTCTGGACAAATTTCACTAGAAATCGATTGATTTTTAATGTTTTTAACACAGATAATCATTGCTATTCTAACAATAAAGCGCTCAAGAAATGAGCCAATGGCAAAGCTTTTAACAACATAACTAGTGCCCAGTTTTTTGCAACATAATTTACGCCTGATAGTTTTTGGACATGTTCGCTCGTTGTGGTTATGAAGTTTCAAGATAAATTTGCAAGTTTTCGGCAATTAAACAGCTCCAATATGTTATATCGACATGTATTTGATAAGATTTCTAGCGAATTTCGCAGTATTTTGCACGTTTTTGTGAATTTCATGGGATTTTGTGGGTTTACCTGAATTTCACGGCTCCGCGACCACGCTAAATATCAGAAGCCCTGATACTGCCTCATTTACGTTATACAAACTAGCGACTAAAAATTTGTATCTGGCGACTATATTTCTCCAGTTGGTCGTCAAAAGGCGACCTGAGGATTTTTTCAATTTCGAGCCGTGAGGGTCCCCTTTCCTTATAGCACAGCCTTGTTACAGTGACATTATTCAGTGACATTATTCAGTATGATGTGTAACCTGTCAAATAAACTCTCAATCTTTTAGCTCTTGCAGGCTGTACTTCTTAAAGGGAACTCCCACTCTTTAAGAAAATATCGCCCAAAATGCTCTTTAAGTCTCCAAAAGTAAATTTTTTGCACACAAAAATGTTCTCTCGCTCTAGATTTTTCTTTTTTGCTTCTGAAGAGAGGCCTTCAAGACGTGTTCGAACTTCCCGCCATCGCCATTTTGATCGGCGCGCAAGGCTCTCTGGGATTATGACGTAAGATGGTGCTCGATTCCCGTGCTCTCGGTAAATTTGCAGCAAAATACCGCATTGCGTTGCTTTTGAGTGCAGTATTCAAGCTAAAAACAAGAAAAAGGATCCCAAAATTCGCTTTCACAAGTTTCCGGATGATGTGGCAATACGACGAGCGTGGATTCATGCTGTTGGAAGGACGTCCTTGCCCAAAGATCCACTTCTGTGTTCGAAGAACTTCGAAGAGCATTGCTTTGAAGAGTCTCAAAGGTTGCTTATTGTCAACACTGGGTTTTGGAAAAGTGGCAAGTTCTGTTTTCTTTTGTTTTCATGTATTTCTCTGAGAATCATAACTTTCTCTCTGACTTCCAGTTTTTGATTTTCTGCAATAATTTGAAATGTCACTTTAAAATCATTTAACAGGAAAAAACGTCTACTTCGATTTGTGAAAGTCAATAATTTTATTGACTACATTATAATGGTTTCTTGTTTACATTGTTACAACCATGTATAATATGTGAAAATTAAGAATTTGTTCATGCTTAACGTGCATATATCGAGTTATGGATGCACGCGGGAAGTTTGGAGAGCACGAAAGATGCGTAAGAGTTGCACGAGGCGATAGCCGAGTGCAACTCTAGCTTCTTGAGTGCTCTCCAAACTTCCCAAGTGCATCCATAACTCGATATACGCACAGCTAAAAGCATGAGCAAATTCTTTTACAACATAGATGTCAAAAATGCTTGCTTTTCGATTAACTACAAAATTCTCGTAACGCGCGAGACAATAACAAACGCTTCTATTGTCTGATTACAAACACGCCGCAATGGTTTAGTTTGAATGAAAATTCTTTCTGTAAAACTGAGAAAGAAAATTCGCTTATTTATTCGTTAACTATCAATGAAAACTAAAAAGAAACAAAGGAAAAAGAGTCTTAAAGTCCGCCTGAAGTGAAAATACTCAAATGTTCGTAAGAAGTCGTGGAGTACGGTTTGGATTTGCTTGAAAGATGTTTATGTTTGCTCGGCGAAATCCAGAAAACTTGTTGTTGAGCGAAGACGACTGTCATCCTAAGCTATCCTACGTTAACCTTATATTCATTTACGAACAATGGCTGGTCATTACGGCTTCTTGAGAAGACTCGGCAGCAGTTGTTTTTGTGAGTTTTTTCATGTCTCCTTGTGTAATTTGTCTTGTTATTGCAAGAGAAATTTTCCTGCTTCAGTCGGATTGTTGGGCGATAACAAAAGTGTATAATTTTTTGCTGTTGAGCATACTTTTTAATTAACTTGTTTTGTAGGATATAAAACAAACGTTAAAAACGGAGGACACTTTGTACAAATTGGATATTTTCCGACACAGACCAATTTGTGGTCTTTCCCCAAGTAAATGTCAGTCTCTACGGCAGACTTTCAAGTTTTAACGAATCATGCAGGCTCTATTATTTGCGAAACATGTCACCGCTTTTGCTGTTGCTTTGAGTGGCTAGAAGGAAGCTAAATTCCAAAAAAAGTCTAGAAAGTTTTTTATCATTGCCGTCGATTTGTGGGTACTTAGGAAAAGGGACGAAAAACAAAGCTGACGCTGAACACATCATCTTATTTTCGCACGGGCGTGCGTAAATAAAGATTTTGTTCATAGCGGCTCAATAGGACTTATATAGGGCAAGCACGCGCGCTATGTTATAAATAGACTTCTTGAAACAACTGAACACATTTTACGTTGTAAATAATGTATAATTCCAATTCATCATAAGCATCAGTAATTAGAGTGAAAAAATAGCAGAAACCATGAGTGACATAGGTTGGTTAGAATGTCAATTTGTTTTGTTAAAATTATTTTAAGTATCAGAAATCAAATGAGCCAATGATAGAACTTGAAGTTTTGGTAGTTATTTATATTAATCTAAGAGGCTGCGTAGTTAGCGCTTTTACTTGATCAAATGCTTCAGTGCCTATTTATTTTTTAGAGTTTTTGTCTTCCCAATGCGGCATTTAATCAAGACTGGTGTTACTGATTATTTTGCATTCATCTGTTTGATACGGGGTGGCATTTGATCCAGTAAATCTATATTCATCGAAAAAAAAAAAAAAGTCATTTACTGAAATTATTACATGCAAATGAACCATAAAATTACTCATGGTATCAGAAAATTCCTGTACATGTGTATAAATTGATTAAAAATTGCTGACAAGAGGAAATGTTTTAAATATTTAAAAAGTCCCTCCATGCTTGTTCAAGCTCACTGTCAAAGGCACTGTCATCATCATCATCTCCAGGAAGATATCCAGTGTAAATGCCACCTTCAGCAGCAAAAGTATTCCTGATAATTTTTACTGCACATGAGGGGATGACACGTCAAATTTTTTTGCCAAGGTACCCATGAGCCCACCAGGTGAACTGTCGATACGCTGCATAACAAAATGACCTTGAAGAAAACTATATTCAATTTATAAATGTCATAGGAGACAATGCACAGGTTTGCTGCTAATGACCTCACCTGTTTACACATTGACTAGTTTATTCCTGGCTTACATTCAAGTTACGTCAAGTCCATCCCAACCCAGACCATACACCCCCCCTCCCCCCCCCTTCCAAAAAACCTAATGTGGGTTTTGGTGACAGGCAAGGTAGCAGTCAATAGTAATGTAAATCCTCTCTTATCAAATAAGTGTACCCCCCCCCCCCTCCACCGTTTCAAAAGTATAACAATCAATTTAAGACCCCTCTCTTTTAAGTACCCCCTCCCCTAAGAGCCTTTTTTACAACCACAACAATAAATGACAAACTGTTGCATGGTGCATCTTTTTCGCCAAAAAGCACAAATTATCTCCTGTCCATAGATCAAAGTCATCTATTTATGCACAGGGCTGTTCATTTCATGCTTCAGACAAGTTAACTTGTATTACTATTGATCAGACAACTTCAGGTGCTTAAAATATCAATTAGATTGTACAAAAAGAAACATCCAATATTTTACTGGCATTAGCTTAACTTTGTACTAAAATTTCACGGCCACGAAAACAACCATAACATGTCAATATCAACAATTTTGAACTGTAGCCTTCTAAATATGTAAACAAAAGAAGATTACATTTTATAGTTAAAAATCTCACTCGTGTCCGAGTAACTGTGTCGAATTTTGACTAGAGATTTGTTTCTCGGACGATTTGCGATAGGAAACAAGTCCATTTTATTCAGAAATGAGCGATAAATCGGTCGAGAGATTCAGGGATGGACGCAAACAACTATGAGACTATGGGCCGGAAACCCGCTAAGAGTACAATTAATTCGGATCGTAAATTTTTATACTGTTCCTGGCACCCCTTCGGAAAACGAAAAGTGAGATTAAATAAATATATTACATCGGGATCAACAAACCTTCCACCAGTTGGGACAAAAAAGGAAGTTCTTTGCAGCAGTCGCATTCAACTTCACTTGGCATCACACAACATCTCTCATATTCGCACCAAGACAGGTCCGTCCGGCGACTTTCAAGTCTCGAAGAATCTAAAGAAGAGACTTCTTCCTTCCCTGAATCAGTCTGTTCTTCCTCTCCTTGCTCACTGGAAGAATATTCAGGTTCAAGCTGATACGGCTCAATGGACATCGTTTTAAAATCACGATACGAAGTTTGTTTACAAAAAAAGGACCCGGACATATGCATTAGGACAACCTGGACGAGCAACCATCTTACGTCATCACCCCAGAGAGCCTTGCGCGCCAATCAAAATGGCGATCGCGAGAAGTTCGAACTCGTCTTGAAGGCCTCTCTTGTGAGGCCAAAAAGAAAAATCTAAAGCGAGAGAACATTTTTCTGTGCGAAAAATCTACTTTTGGAGACTTAAAGAGCATTTTGGGCGATATTTTCTTAAAGAGTGGAGGTTCCCTTTAAAGCTGGTTGCTTTAACCTTTCTTCCTATTGGGGAATTGTAAGAATGTACCAGTAATTAATGCACATTTTACTTCGAGGTAAACCTAGCCTGTGTACAGGCGTCCCCCCTCCCACAGGAAAAATCGGGAGATCGCCGACGATAATCGTGTTCCCGTTTCCCCGGAATGTTGGGGACAGCCTCTGATTGGTTGTAATGTTAATGCTATGACGCAAATAATTTCCGGTGTTGTGATTGGTGAATGAACCTCAGAATAGATTCCCCGAGGACAAGCTCAGCCTTTGTGGACATTCATATTTGTTTACCGGTATTTGTATTTCAGCTTTCTCGAAAAGGCATGAGAAGTTAAGACCACCGATGTTTGCTGCACCGGTTGTGGGTGCGTCTGTCTGTACCGGTCGGTATTGTAAATAAAAGAGAAGACATACAAAATCCAACGTCACCAACCAAGGCAGGTCAAGCTTACCCCAAAAAGATTCTATTACAGAATTGATTATTTGAAAAAATGAATCCGTTAGTCGTTCCCGCAACTGGTGTCAAATTTAAATCGGCATTCCCGTATGCCGAATGAGCTGTGAATATTTTGAGAGAACTTCTCTGCATTTGGTCAGATTAAAAATCTTTGAATGGATTAAATGTCTAGAAATTTACATCAAATTCAGGGAAACTGAGCTGGTAGAAATTTCGTAACTGAATCGCGTGTGTATTCACGGCTCATTACGCATGCAAGAATGCCCACAGAGATGAATCTGAAATCTACAACTACCAACGGTTCAACTTTCGAATAATAAATAGGATCTTAAGAGGTACGCTTGACCTGGCTTCACTATAATTAGAGATCTTATATCTGGATTTTTGGGTGGACATTGCGTGAAGATGTTCGGCTAGCCTGTGTACAGACGCCAGAGCTATTTTTCGACCTTCATGAGCCTTTTCAAAGCGAAAGAACAAAAAAATAATTTATGCAAATGTATACCGGAACACGATTAACGACGGCGATTCACAGACGTCTCCTTTTCCGATTTTTCCTGAGGGAGGGGGGACGTCTGTACACAGGCTATGGTAAACCTAGATTGTAGGGATCTATTAAAGTGGAACCCCGTCAATACAGTCACCAATGGGCCAAAAAAAATTGGTCGTATTTACGGGTGACCGTATTAACAAGGGTTTTTTACAAGAAAGAAATTTATGGCCCTTTTTTCAGGCAGCCAAAAAAAGTGGCCGTAATAACAAGGTGATTGTACAAGGCTGCTGCCTAAGAAAACTTTTTGGGAGCCTTTCGGGCTCCTGAAATAAAAAGTTAGGAGCCCAAGCCACATTTCTAGGAGCCCACTGATCGACAAAGTTCAAATTTATTAGGGCATAAATTGTTGTATAGTTAAGGTTCAGCTAAAATTCATTAGGGCCAATTTCCTGTTTTTCTGTTGGTAAATTTCTTTTCCTCAACCTCACTTAGGGACTGTCAGAGGTTTTTTTTTGCCTAAATGTATTTCGAGAAAACACTTCTGGAACCTAGTTTTAATTAGTTTACCAGGATGACCTTATCGACAGAGTCTGTATCTCCTCTGCTCTAAGTAAGCAAATCGAGTTTCGAGACGAGTGAATCGATTTTCGCGTCTCGTGTTTCAAGTTTCAAGAAATCAGCATTTTTGACTATTCGTCACTCAAAGGAATTTCAAGAAAACTATTTATTTCTCACCTTCATTCGCACGTACAGCAGCAACGTTCACATGTACAATTTAAGCGAAGTTAAGTTAGAGTTTTTAGGCAATAAAAAAGGACCAACGAAACGTTTTTTATCTTGAATTTTGGAAAATTGGATCTGTAATTTTGCATGAAGTCTATCTTTTGAACTTTAAAAAATGCCTTTATTTTTGGTGCATAACATGTGAAGGTATGTATTTACGTTAATTGTCACTTGCGACGATGTGAAGTGATTGAGATATGATCTGAAATAGTCGTCGTGAATCTTTTTCAAAAACTGTAATGTTTTTGCGAGCCTAGCTTCAAAAATTCCCACGAAACGTGAAAGTTAAGGTACAACGAAAAATAGAAAGGCATAGATAACGCTGAATAAATGATATACACAAGAAATTTGCGACTGTACCATCCGTAGCAAGATAGGAAACGCTAAACTTCGATTATTGTTGATCTGTGTAGATGCAAGTAAAAGTTGCTGAATAAATGATATACACAAGAAATTTGCGACTGTACCATCCGTAGCAAGATAGGAAACGCTAAACTTCGATTATTGTTGATCTGTGTAGATGCAAGTAAAAGTTGCATTAGGTCATGTGTAGTTTGAAACCTCTTGCTTTTTGCACGCATCGCAACTTTAAAAACATACAAAAGCGACCTATAAACATTTTTGGAAGGAAAATGTGGGGAAAAAATCGTAATTTTGATACCGAAAGTTTTTCTAAGACCATTAAATTCATTCGAGATCATTTTCAGACAAGAATCGACAACTCCATGCACTGCAGCGGAAGCCCCGGCGGGAGCGAACGTTCAAGACAAGCGCTTGTTCATTCACTTTTATCAGTCGAAATTGTTTGCCTATGGTCGACGTCAACGCGTTTTATGTTTTAGTTTCAAAACCACAGAATGAGCAGGAATTTTTTTTGTTTGTTCATAGGAAGTTAGCATAGAGGCAATTGCCATACTGGAATCATAAGTTTTAGGCGCCCGTGCGCGCTCCTTGTTTAAAATTTTCTTTGCCTCTGGCGACCGGGTGTCCATTAGACAGCAGCCTTGACGTATAACCGTGGTGGTGGAGGCCATAAAGCAGGGTTTCACTGTATCAAACAATCATGGAATAAATCATGGAATGAGGTTCAACCTTTACTTTTTTCCAAAGCTAAAAAAGGTGTTAACCTTACAGTTAACTCTCTCTAACATGGACACCTAGTTTAGGACTGGCACAGTATATCTGTCTTAGAGAGACTGCCATTTTATAGAGAGTTATCTAAGAGTAAAGAAAGGCAGGGAACAACTCTACACTATAGGCAACTGTTTTAGTGAGGTGTCAATTTGACAAAGGAAGTACTTTGTATGGGACGAGGTCAAGTCGTCATTCTGTTGTAGTGTAGTTATCTGTTTGTATCATCTTAATCATTGTTGTTTGTTCAGAAAAAATCAACATCTAACCACTAATGCTGGGAAATCCACTGTACTTACAGTTAACAATATGAATTGTTCTGGTACTCACAATATATAGTTACACGGATTGTCTGATTGATGGCACTGCCAATTCCATTGTCAGCTTCACAGCGATATGTTCCAGCATTGTTTCTATTGTTGTTGATCACATATGAATTCCCAGTAAACAGGACATCACTGTCACTCGCGTTATCAAACACTCTTGTCCAGCTGACCTTTGGTGTTGGGTTCCCATCTGCAGAACAGCTTAAGGTGATCGTAGCAGGGTCACCTTCTACCACAACTTGGTCAGAACTGAAACTGTTGAAACTTGGAGGAACTGTACAGGACAGAAAACGTTCAATGAGATTAAAATAATCAATGATAATTAAGTCAGCAATGTGATGACGTGACTAAATTATAGTAATTACTGAAAATGTAAGGAGAAAGGCTGAGGCTGAAGTGATTCTAGGTTTACATGTACTAGCATGACGAACCAATTAGAAGTCATACTTAATCTGGGATGGTAGCACACCGAGAGGTACGTGCATACATACTGTACCCACTGCAGATGCATACACTAGGTACAATAAGTGATATAGTGTGAGAAGTAGGCACATGTACATGTAGAACAAATGTTAAGCTTGCACTCAACCCCAAAAAAAGTAGCCAATCAGGTTCAGCCTTGTCATTCCATTACACATAGCATTAGAAGTGACATGTCAACTTCCCGTTGGGACCTGCAGATGCCAGTCCATGGAAGGGTAACCATTTCTATAGCTGGTTAGAGTACAATGCATAAAAGTATAGTGAAAGTGAGGTGTCTTGGCCACACCAAGATCACAACACAATGTTTCTGACAGGGCTCAAAGGAACTCTTGATTCAGAGTCCAACGCACATGATTAATGTTGCAATATAGCTTTACTAAATAAATTATTTTACATCATAGAATTTTTCTTAGAATTTTTTATGGAAGCAGCTCACTAGAAAAGGAGTTTTAATGAATCGTGATATGTTACTACTGTTAAAACTCTCATTGATTGATAAATAATATTATTGACTGATTAATTTACTGACCAGTTGAAACCACTATGCCCCATTGAGTCTTTCAATGTACCAAATGGATGTGGATATATGGTCGTTGTGAAAACAAACACCCCCGAAAACAAAGACGCAAGAAAAATTGGGGGTAAACACCCCAAAAAGAGGGCCTGAACATGAAGACCCCTGAAAAAGCAGACCCCAAAAGAAGACCCCCGTATTTTTTTCCTCTTACTATTACAGTTGACTCCCGATAACTCGAACCCACTATGTTAGCTAACTCGAACCTCGCGCTAACTCAAACCAAAGTTGATTTCTCCTGGATTTCCTTCATACATTTACTTCAATTTTACCCTCGGTAACTCAAACCCTCAATAACTCAAACCTCCTGCTAACTAGAAGTAACTTTTGTCTCCATTCAGATCATTTCTATAAAATTTTAGCCCCAATGACTTGAACCATGTTTTAAGCACGCGAAACAAGTAAAACAAGTCGGAAAAAAAACAACAACAACCTAATGAAGTCTGAAACAAGGAA